ACCAGTGGAAAAAGACCGCTTCGCGGCCATTTCCACTGGACTACATCAAGGAACAATGAATTTGAATAACTTCCCTTTGCGGCCTGCGGCGCTAGGACCTGAGTCAAGGGCCATTCTTTGTCCGGCGGCACCAGAGCCTGCGTTTCGCTAGAATATTTGAGCCTGCGGCGTAGTTACTGGTTTTTCTCCAAGATCTGGCCTGCGGCGCGAGAGGACCTAGATCAGGGACCCATCCTTGGCCTGCGGCGCGAGCCCGGGCCGAGGACCTTTCTTTGGCCTGCGGCGCTAGAGCGAGGGCCAGGTCTAACCTCGCACACCGAGCCTAGAAATATGTTTTGTTGCCGAACTACCAAAAGCAAAAATTAAATCCAGGATCCGAGACTCACGACCACACGCGTAGTAGACCGAGCGCTACTCCACTACACCAAGGGGCAGATGGGAGGGGCGGCGGGAAAGGCCTCTTCGGTCCTGGGGGAGGGCGAGGAAGATAAGGGTGACCGGTGGTCCCGGAAGGAGGCCTTCTGGTCAATTTACAAAGTTCGATTTTTTAGTCTGAATCTGTGGAAAGTTTGTAAAGATAATAAGGTGCCCATGATCCCCACCCTTGTTTGCATCAGCGGTCTAAATTTCAGCCCGGAATTCCATCAGCCCTGCTAGTTATGGCCCGGACACCATGGCCGTGACCACGATTATTAAGGGACCTTTCAGAAAAATCCTTATAAAAACTTTATTTTAAAGAGTTTTGGAAAATCCAAAAAATTGTATCTGGGGAATTACTTTCCCCATCTATCCTCGAAAAATCAAGACCCAATTCCCTCTAGACGCGGAGAAAACTTCCGGACAACGCGGCAAAAACCCATTTGGTAAGGGTTTTTACTTTTTGCCTATAAAGTTTAAATGAAGGAATTTCGCAAAACAAAAAAATGCATCACTGACAAATGTGTTTCTCCACCTCCGTGTAAAAATCAGCTCGAAATTCGGCCTGACGGCCGAGAAATCGGCTGTACAGAAAACAGACATACTTTTCTCGCTTATAGGATAGGATTATTTATTTTTATATTTCAAACATGTGTTTTTGCGGGTTGTTATTGTGTGTGACATCTGAATAAAACGTTAAAACAGTAAGGGTTTCAAGCATGGCAAAAAGTTGCTTCCATTAGTGAAGTTACTCCAAGAGCCTCAAACAACAATTACGACATTTTCAAATTAACTCAAAAATTTCTCACCTCGACTGAATACGCAGAAAATTCTAGAACACGTGCAAAAAGTTCTAAAACTCAAAACCATGGCAAATCCGCTTTTTCTTATCACATAGCTGGCTGCAGAAAGAGGCGTGATGGCGCAAAGTGTTATTCCGACCTCGCTGACACTTTCAGAACGTGGATATTCAAGATTTTTCGAAAATAGAGGCTTTTTTCTTGCGAGCAAAATACCGAAACGCATTCCCAGGGTCTTTCATCTTCTGCAAATATTGTTATCTAGCCCCCTTAGAAGACGTCGAAGACGGATGTCAGGGAAGCGTATTCAGATCTCCTTGGTACGGCGATTGTCGGGCATCGGGAAGGGGATTTTGGCGTGTTTCATTGCTGAGGAAAAATTTCCGAAGCAAGAAACTGGCGTGATTTGGCCTTCTTTCGCCAACGCCTATAATTTAGCTTGTTCAGAAGAGGTGGAAAACAATGATGGCGCAATCTGGCGCAATGATGGACGAGCGCATAAAATGGCGTGGATTCCGGGAGGCGAGCGCCCTGCCCATTCCTCCAAATGACACGCCAAATGACTGCTGCTTCAGCTTCCCTCCTCTAGCTATGTTCATCAAGCAGTTCATTGCGGGGCCATTGGCCTATTTCTTTTGCGTAGGAAGTCAGTGTTTTTACTAACACATTAACAAATTCTATAATTCTATTCTATTCTATACTAACGGCGTTCAAAAAGGCAAAAAAATATTCAAGAAAGCTAGAAAGTTTAATCCAGGCTTGAAAAACAGTCCGTTTTCGATGATTCGCTTTGTTAGAATGTCAACCAAAATATTTTTTACTTTAAATAATTGATGAGTATATTTAGGTTGCACAGGAGTCTGTTCGGGTGCTGCAATTATCACAACCGGTGGACTCGGCGCCGTCGGAGTTCCAGCATGCCTCGAAGCCTGTGTCACGGGATGTCTGGCCGTTGGTGTCACCCGGGCACCCTGAATTATCTGGTTCGGTACTGACTGGTATAAAACTATCTCAATAAACATTTTGGGCCAGATTTCATGCTAATTGGACTGACTGGTGACATGGCCAGATATTTATTTTCGTATAATTTGCGTGTACATTGCTGAATTTGCCATACATAATCCAATATTTCTAGATGGATCAAGACAGAAACTGCTCCCCGGCCTCCACTACCATCGACATACCCCCAGAGAAGGAGGAATTGGAGGTGTACTGGCTGCCACCGCGGGGTTTACTGTAGCCGTCGGAGGAGGACTTGTCGCAATGGTTCTCGGCACCTTGGGCTTTATTTCCTAATTAGATTGCAACATTCAAGACATCAATATCCAATTAAAAAAACAACTAATCATGCGTTTTAAAGTGCAAGGTGTGTTTTAACAAAGCACCAACTTAAAAGCACATAGTTTCTTACGCGAAACATGAAGCATCGTCTTTCTTTCTCTCCCTCTCTCAGTCTCTTTTTATCTCTCTCTTTCTCATTCTCTCTCTCTATCGCGATCTCTGTCTCTCTCTACCATGCTTTTAAGACATAGAAATTACAGTGTG